TTATAAAAAAATATAAAAACCTCTCTACCTATTTTTTTCCCCCTCTTTCTTTCTCTTTCTTCTAGCGGGGGAAGAAAATAGGTGGAGAGGTTTTTTTATTTTTATTAAAAATATAATTATCTACATATTATTTTATTTATCCATGTTATCATTATTTCTAATTAGATGATCTATGTTATTATTTTTTTCCAGTTAGATTATACATGTCATCAAAAAAATATAAAAAATGCCACATGAATGAAGTTAACGGTTTAAATTAACGAACGTATCAAAATTGTGCAGTTGTTAAAGTTAAACGATAAAAAAAGTACAAAAAATAGTTTAAGGACCAAAAAAGTGCAAAAAAATAGTTTAAAGACCAAAAAAGTATAACTTAATAAAGTTGAAGGATAAGACAGTGCAATTTAATGAAGTTAAGGGACAAAAAGTGAAATTTAATGAAGTTGAGAGACAAAAAAGTGCAACTTAATGAAGTTGAGGGACCAAAATTAGAATTTAATCAATTTTTTTTAAGTGGCGGGTGTGAAGTGTGACGGAACATTAACGGAATAGTAGGAGATTTGATCGGAAGTTAGTTTTCCATCCAATTGGTACCTTATTTGAGAATTTCGTGGAGTTTGAGACCTTCATTGAGCGCAATCAAAGTTTAGATCCGAAATTGCGAATTTGGTGTAAGTTCGGGTCCTTATGTCATATTTTTGCCAATTTTAATTCAATAAGTAAAATTTTTATTTACAAGATTTTTAATAAATTAATATATTATTTTTGTACCATGTAGGATACGATAAACTACAAAACCTCTAAATTTTTTGAATACAGAAGATTTTAGCTCTAGAAAAAGTACAAATAATTAACTGCTCATTTTAATTTCAATAATTTTTTAAATTATTTTTGGACTAATAAATATAGAACATGAATAACAAACACTAAATTTTTACTATTTTTACAATAATTCGAGCAAATAAAAAATATTTTACAATTATAAAAACTAACCTGAGTCTAAACTAAAACTGTTTTTAGTAATTAGATTTTTTGATTGGTCGGAAGGTAAAAAGGTTAGAATGTAAGTCTTATGTAAGGCTTAACATATTTTTTAATAATTAATTTTTATTGAAAATATAAATATTGATTTTGATTTTACTAATTAATTAATTAAAATAATTTATGTTTTAATAATATTAAAATAAATATCAATTTTTATAATTTTTATATAAATTAATTAAAAA